TAGCGATTCCGCTGCCTACATAATAAGTCTCGTCTATAATATTAAGTAAAATTATTTGGTTTATACAAAAAATAAAACCAAATAAAACTAAATTTTAAAAAAATTATTGATAAACCAACAAATAACACCAAATTTTCCTCAAAATTAATAAAACCAAATAAAACACACGAAATTTAAAAAAATAATAAAACCAAATAACTTTGTACACTAATTATTATTTAAAAATATCATAAACTTTGACGTTCTTTACATTGTAGTTGACAGCATAGATATTAATAGTTGAGATAATAGGTATTTGATTGTATTTATATATTGCTAAACATTACTTTTGAAACACAGCACAAAAAGTTATCAAATGACAGACCATTAAATTCGCCCAAAACTGAAGACAACAGCGATTTAGACCTCGATATCAGTAATTCTATTAAGAATGGAATTCTCTATATTGAAGACATCACTGAAAAGGTTTACACAACAGAATCAATACTAAAGTTATACAAGAATTGATTTCATTACTAATTTCGTTACAGAAGTGGAAAACATATTACTTTGTATTGACTCAAGAAAAGCTATATTATGTCGAACCCAATGCTGAGGAAGAAGACGACGACGAAGAAGAGGAGAATATTTATGGGACAAGAGATTCGGCGGAGTTGTATGAGAACAACGCCTATGAAATGCATTTCGGAGAGACTTGGTTTCACGGAAAAGTCAAAGTAATTACTTATTAATATTAAGTTACAGTATTTACTATTCAATTAAAAATTCAATTTGTATGCAAAGCGAGCGGAGGCCGAGTTATTGCTGAACAGGTATTTATGCGGTGATAACAGCAGTGACGGCACATTTCTGGTCAGAAACAGTGAATCAAATTCTGGTGAATTTTCCCTGTCATTCATATACCAGAATCACATCCATCACAGTATTATATATCACACCAACGATACTCAAAACAAGACTTATAACCTCAACAAATACAAAACCTTTCCGAGTCTTTATGAACTCATAGCCTATTATCAGAAGCATCCGCTTCGGAGTCAAAAGTTTCAGGAGTTGTATTTGAAAACTCCTGTTCCGCAACCAAATTCACACGAAGACAAGGAATGGTTTTACAAGAATATGACCCGATCTCAGGCCGAAGATCTGCTCAGAAGACTGAGAAATAACGGCGCTTTCCTCGTCCGGCCGAGTGAGAGATCCCACTCTGAAGACGACAATCTATTTTCTATTTCTTTTAGGTTTTCTTATCGATAAAACAATACTTATAGCAAAATCTAATGAAAAATTAATTAAAATCATTGCAGAGCTGAGAATAAGATCAAACACTGCCGTATAAAACGCGAGGGAAGGCTATATTTGATCGGAAGCGCAGAATTTGAAAGCCTTACAGAACTTATTGAATATTACGAGAAGAACCCACTCTATAGGTTGAGTATTGAGATTTGAAAAATATAATATTATTAATGAAATATTTTATAACAGAAAAGTGAAACTAAAATTTCCGGCCACTAAAGAGATTGTCGACAAACTCGGAGGGGTTAGTCACACATCAATTGAATCATTAATTAA